TCAATAATTGGTAACTTCCCGACGTGATAATCGCTACACCAGGAGAGAAGCAGCAGTTTTTCAAAGGAGCTTGAGCAATGCCGGCAGACATACACTCGGGCCCATACGGAAAGGTAAAGAAGTACCTGTTTATTCAAAATCTTCAATAGATTACATAGTAAATAATGAGGAGTGTGTGTCTGTCTGGTAAGTTGGACTCCTGAGAAGGACTGCCTAGTTTAATGTTAAAATATCCACATTTATAGCAAATACATATCATGTGGCGCTGTTCTGAGACAAACCAAGGGTAAGTATTTTCCTTTCTTTGATTCATTAACCAACTGCATGTTTTTAAACCAACTGCATGTTTTTAATATTAATCTTTTAAAGTCGTTTTGGACGATATAAGTCGTTTTGGACGATTTAAGTCGTTTTGGACGATAAAATTGTTTCGGACAATATTAAAAGACGCTGAGGGCGTTAGTCGTTTCGGACGACAAAGCTAGTACGGCTAGTAGGTGTTATACTGTTGTGTTTTAAACCAAGATATTGCAGAGTGGATTACGATAATAGGAGTTACAGCAGCATTACGTTAAACATGACGACGGTCTGTTAATGGTAGCTGATAGGTCTCCATATTGGTCCCACACTAGCGTGGCTAAACAACAACAGATAATCACCAGACTATAAAGTCAAATATTACATTGATAGGTTTAAGGCTTATGATGTAAGGGCTCCTCATTTTAAGATAGGATATCTCTAGGATAAAGCCCATATTCATCGAAATGTTATTTTGAATATAAAGTGTAGTTTTGTGTTGTATTTTTAAACTTTGTCCTACCACACCAGGGTTTCCATTTTGTCCATTTAAAGATCACCAAGCCATTATTTAAACTCATCAGTGAGAACCACATGGTGTACTTTCAACATCTCTTTGTTCTGGGGTCAGAGTTCGAAATAATCAGTAGCCATCTTGTTTTGACAAACAAAACACAGGGCAGTCGCCATTTCGAGAAATGCTAATTCAAAAGACTCCTTTGTTCTTTGTAATCCATGTGGTTTCACTCCCATGAGGCCAAGTCCTTTTTCTGACCTCCATCTTGTGAAGAACAAACCATTCTTCTTGACTCAGTTGGATTTAGAAAATAGTACATTTTGATAAATCAGGTTATCTATATATATTGGAGTTGGAGTTTGGTGTTTGTAAACAATTCTCGGAGATTGGAACCAGCACCATCTGATTTTTTTTTTAAATCGTGCTTGCAAATGTGTTTTGGCTGGTTTATGCTTTATTGTTTAATCCTCAAAAAAATTGTGCTTGCAAATGAGTTTTGGCTGGTTTATGCTTTATTGTTTAATCCTCAAAAATTGTGCTTGCAAATGTGGTTTGGCTGGTTTATGCTTTACTGTTTAATCATATAGTGAATTTCCTTCCCATATCAAAGGTAGTTATTAAGAAAAATAAGCTTCTTGTTACATAGACGTTAGTTTTACAATAGCTGCCTCTGGTAGAAGAAGCTGAAAATTACAACAGCACACTCTACTGGTTGTACAGAATTGTTGCACAAGACAGGAGTAAAAAACTTATAAATACAACACACATAAATTAAAATGATATCCTAAAGTTTAATTTCAAGTGTTATAGATGAACACATACTTCATCACACAGGTGGTTCCTGATTTTGAGATAAGAAACCTTACATAATAGTCTTTCAAACTACACTGTAGAATATCCAAACACCATATAATTGACGTAAACACAGTTTATGACATTAGCATAATTTCATGCACTTTGGTATATACTATACACTGTAAAGTTGGATTTTCAGAAGATTTCTATTTTTCATATTTCAAAGTCAAAACCATACACTGTACAATTTTTTATTTTTAAATGTTTTATTTTTAAATTCACATAATTTTTTATTTTACTTTATTAATCTTTTTAAAAAAAAATTTTTTTTAAAAAAAAAAAAAAAAAAAAAATTGCCAGCTTTTAAAGTTAAGTTCGGATGACATAGGATGTTTTCTATCAGGAACGAAGGTACTATTCAGTCGATTAGTAATTCATCTTTGATACATTTAATAACTATATCCAACTACTTAAGAAATATGTCACCAAAAGACACCAAGTTAACACTAGAACCGCCACCTGGGTCAAATTGACCCGCTATTAGAATGCATTGATTTTCAACGTAAAATATTCTTTTATTGAACAGTGAGTTTTGATCGCACAGGGATGAAACGTATACCAATATAATCTGTGGACTCTCAGGGCTCGACATTATAAATGGCCCGCTGGCCCGGAAGCATTGTTTAGACACCGCGGCCAGCATAACGTACTTTCAACTCGCCCCACAGCTGTTTGCTGCGGAGCGCAGCGCGAGCAGTCTCCCGTGAGCGGGAGCGCACTCCTTCACTACAGACTGTCTCTATCTCTCTCTCTCTCTCTCTCTCTCTCTCTCTCTCTCTCTCTCTCTCTCTCTCTCTCTCTCTCTCTCTATAACTATCTATCAATATATCTATCCATCTATCTCTCTCTCTCTCAAAATCTATAAGGAACCGCAGTAGACAAAAGGCGTTGCTATAGCAACACGTCATGTTTATATGAAAAGGGGTGGGGTCAATATGACCCGCTTGGCGGAAATAGGTATAAATGGCAATTTTTTTGGGCGATTTCTTCAATCTGACTTCATATTGACAATTTTTAACAACATAGGGTGCTACATAACACACTTTCAGGAAAAGTCACGGACTGGAAGACTTTAATATTTTATTGAAAAAAAGTTACACACAATAAAAAACAGCTCTGGGTCAAATTGACCCGATTGGCGGTTCTAGTGTTAAGAGCACCCGCAGTGCCAGGCTCAACTGCAGATATTAAGGAGAGGGTACACGTCAGATCAGATGCTACAACACATCCGAATGATAAACAGAAAGTAGGGAATCAAATACAGGAATTGTTGAAACAATGGCAAACACGACGATTGATTCCAGCAGATGATCAACCTGGACCAACGAAAGCCCATAGAAAAGCTGTAAGTGCATATGAGAATGAGAGATACTTACACCAGCAAGAAGCATGGATCAACACCAGACACCCCTTTTGGTATGGACCTGAAAAAAGCGCTATGAACAAAGCTGAAAAAAGAAAAACGACAGTTACAAGTCTGCTACTCCATCTGAAATATGCCAGCCAGGGATTGACAAACAGCATACATGTGTTAGAAGCGGCAGATCTGCCAGTGAAGGAAGACACAGCAGGAATAACAGAAGAGGCTCCAGTTATCCAAACTCAAGAGCAGAATCCAAGTCTAACCGAAGTGTCTCTTTCCAACATATCAGAGAACAACCCTTTTCACCAAGCCCCTATAGGAGAAGTATTGGAGTTGGATGGACTCCCCACAGCTACACGTGTCAAAGACTTGGAGTATGAAGTAAGGATGCTATCTGGTGAAGTTAACCAGCTGAAGGAGGAACTCAAAAGAAGAGAGGAAGACGGATCTCAAGACGCTACAACAGTAGCTATAGCTGGAAGACTCAAGAACTGCACAATCCACATGTTACCGGTGATAGCAGCTGGAGAAGGAGGATTTCAATACCAACCATGGACTCACAGGGACATGGAAGCATTAGTGTCCAAGCTACCTCCACTCACCAAAGGAGGTCAGAAGTGGGTGAATGATCTGGAGAAGTACACTGTCCAAGACGACCTGTGCTTGGGAGACATGAGGGCACTGCTAAGACGGATAGAAGGAAGACTAGAGGCAAGAGCAGTAGATTTCGAGGCCCAATGCGCCAACTCTCCAGATGACATTTCATTCAACAAAATCAGGTCGAGCTATTGGGCTGCTATTCGTCACATCTACCCGACAACACGCAGTTTGACTGCCCTCCACAGCCTGAAAAAAGGAACGGAGGAAGACATCCATGCCTTCTTGAAGAGATGTGAAGGAGTGTGGGAGGACTGCACTGGAGAACGACATGACGCTTCTCCGGCTGTCGTGATGTTGTGGAAGAATGCGGTCTTCCCCGATCTGTGCAGGCATGCCTGGAAGACAAGGTGGGATTAGACATTAAACCCATTGAAGAATGGAGACAACATCTCATTCACCACGATATGAAATACCAGACAATAAAGAGAGAACATGATGAAGAAATGAAAGCACTACAACTAAGACTTTTGAGAATACAGGTAGCTGAGGAAGATACCAAAGCTAATAACAAGAAAGCGGCAAGGCAGATGGCGGCTGAGATAGATATTCACATACAGAATCAACGAAGGGGCAGAGGAGGAGGACGTTTTCAATCAACAGCAAGAGGTTCCCAAAGTGATGGATGCTTTATATGTGGTCAGCTGACACATTGGTCCAGAGAGTGTCCGCAGAACCCGCCACAATATCAGCAACAAGCACCAAACAACGGCCCTCCACACAGTTACCCCAGGGGAGGTTTCCATGACTACAACAGAGGCAGGGGGTCTCAGGGATGTCAAAGAGGAACAGGATTTCCAAACATGAATGTGTTGAATGTTATTTAACAATCGTGAGTAGCATATTGCATTTAAATATAAATCATCCACAGATTAGTAGAAGAAGATTAAAACATAGTAGAACATTTAGCAGACTATTTTTGTAATTATGAGAAGGAAAGAGATTATGAGTGATGTTGTTCCCCCACACAGAAAACTATTGTGTCCACACAGCTAGAGAGGTCAAGACAATGGGTTTACGCCCAAAAGATGAAGATGAAAGCATAGTCCTCGCCCAAGACGGAGGGTCCTTACCAAGTCCTCCTGTTTAAATCGACTGCAGTTCAAGGGGCGAAGATACACCTGATGTGGAGCTGTTGAGACCTGAAAACAGAAACTCGATTCTGCTGTGGTGAAGTCTGGCTACAAAGGGAGGTGTTTCAATA